CTGGGTGAACAGTGCGTCTAGAGCTGGCCCGGGGGTGCTGGTTGCCAGGAGCTGAGGCGGCCTCTGAGTAAGCAAGCAAGTGGGCGAAGGAGCCCAGCCATCCAGTCCACCAGTCCTTGCTGTTGGGAATGGGCAGACAAGTCCCAGGGCCCTGTGGGGCAGTGTGAAGAGGCACCTCTCTTTGGGGCGGGGAGGGGAGGAGCTCAGAGATCAGGGGCAGCAGCAGTGGCTGCCCAGAGGTCTCTCAAGGAGAGGGGAGAGGACAGGAGACTGAGGGAACACCCCACAAGGGAGGGTGCTCGAAAAAGGGCGAGGCTGCCAGCTCTGTCAGCAAGGGGTGACATAACTGAGCTCCAGAGCCCCACAGAGGTGCCGTAGACTCAAAAAGGTTGAAAACCTCTGCTTTAGGGAGAAGGGTGGAGTCTGAATGTGATCAATAAACTGTCATGATCCAGAGAAAGTTTATCAAGTGTAAGGTAAAGGGAGCCCTGACCATTAGGTCCAGTCGCGGACGACTCTGGGGTTGCGGCGCTCATCTTGCTTTATTGGCCGAGGGAGCCGGCGTACAGCTTCCGGGTCATGTGGCCAGCAGGACTAAGCCGCTTCTGGCGAACCAGAGCAGCTCACGGAAATGCCATTTACCTTCCCGCCGGAGTGGTACCTATTTATCTACTTGCACTTTGAGGTGCTTTCGAACTGTTAGGTTGGCAGGAGCTGGGACCGAGCAACGGGAGCGCACCCCATCACGGGGATTCAAACTGCCAACCTTCTGATTGGCAAGTCCTAGGCTCTGTGGTTTAACCCACAGTGCCACCCGCGTCCCTTTATCAAGTTTAAGTCCCATTGAAACCAACTTCATTCCCACTCATCTGAATGTGGCTTGATTTGCAGCTGATTTGCTTGGGGCTATATGGCACCAATAGTGTGCTAGAGCTTTATCCTCTGCAGTTACAAGCTGTTGTTTTTAAATGCCCTAAACACTGGATAGATGGACTATTTTTAAAGTCAAACAGGAAGCAAAAAATAAAATAAAATAAATACTGCAACCTCTTGACATGTTAAATAAGAGTTTTTCCAGGCCTGGTATGCATAACAATGGCTGCATTTTTCTTTAATAAGACTTATCATCCTAATATAGCAATCTAGCCTTTGTGCAGATAAGAGGAGCAGGATATCTGATATAACCTAGGCACCAAGCATGGGTATCGAATGTTAAGGTAAGAATGATACTTTTTTTCCTCCTGCCATGGTCCATAGCCAAATAAGCTGCACTGGAAGTTGGATGCTGAGGTGTTTATTTAATATGGGTGCAAACTTGATGACCATTGTTACTTTGGCAATGATTTGCATCATTAGCATGCCTGCTCCATATGCCTTAAGTTCACGACAGATTGAGGCAAATTCAGAAAATTCAGTGCTTTCTGAAATAGAACACTGACTGGGCGTGGTGGTGAGATGCAGTAGCCACGGACCATGAGAGAAATTCAGCGTTGTGCTATGTTGATTGTTCTATCAGGAACCATCCTGTTTTCCTTCTCCATGTGATGTTCCGGTGGTTCTCCAAACATCCCTCAGAGCCAACTTCAGGGTGTCGTGGGAGAAGAGGGGGGGAAAGCTCCATTGTGCAAATGGAAGTTCTTCTATGGATTTTCACTGATGGGACTCGTTAGTTGCATTCCACCCTGTGTATTCACTGAAATCCATGGGATTGCTTCAAAAACAGTTTGGAGCAACAACAACAAAAGACTTGTGGTTTGCAAATCCAGTAACCTTGTCGAAATAAATTTTTTTTAAAAAAAGAAATTGTCCAGTAGCACCTTGTTGTTGTTGTTTAGTCGTTTAGTCGTGTCCGACTCTTCGTGACCCCATGGACCAGAGCACGCCAGGCACTCCTGTCTTCCACTGCCTCCTGCAGTTTGGTCAAACTCATGCTGGTAGCTTCAAGAACACTGTCCAACCATCTCATCCTCTGTCGTCCCCTTCTCCTTGTGCCCTCCGTCTTTCCCAGCATCAGGGTCTTTTCCAGGGAGTCTTCTCTTCTCATGAGGTGGCCAAAGTATTCGAGCCTCAGCTTCACGATCTGTCCTACCAGTGAGCACTCAGGGCTGAATTCCTTCCGAATAGATCAGTTTGATCTTCTTGCAGTCCATGGGACTCTCAAGAGTCTCCTCCAGCACCATAATTCAAAAGTATCAGTTCTTCAGCGATCAGCCTTCTTTATGGTCCAGCTCTCACTTCCATACATCACTACTGGGAAAACCTTAGCACCTTAGAGACCAACTAAGTTTGTTCTGGGTATAAGCTTTCGTGTTCATGCACACTTCTTCAGATATGCCAGTAACTTTGTGTTCAAGATCCAGCTACCAGGATTCTAGGTCCTATCTTCTGCTCACATACATCATATAGCAAATGAGGAATGTCAGGGAGAGTCCGTTTGATGGCCCTGTGAGGGTGTCTGGATGAGGAAGGCCTGCGTTTGAATGCTTGGCCATTGAGACTTGCATTCAGCAAGGTCACCCCCTGCTCAACTTCATTCACAAATCTGCCAGATCTGAGGACAACATGAAAAGGACTGCAAACAAAGTACCCTGAGCCTTCATGAGAGGCTGGAAGGTGAGAAAAGAATCAAATAACTTCATATTATTTGAGTGTTGTAAGGGATAGTCGTATTGTGGCCGCAATCCAACTCAGAGCCAAGCACATTGGAATGTGGCTGCATAGGATGAGATCACTATACTACGATCTCTGACCATTGGCCATACTGGATGGCAATCATGGGAGGTGGAATCCAGCAACCTCTGAACAAGAGGCAGGAGGTGGAGCCTGTGAATAACAGGATCACTGCCTGGCAAACCAGGGGTAATCTTGGTGAGATAGGAACAGAGTTGAGTGGAGCCTGGTGACAACACCTGGGGAAGGCAATGAGCTCATGAGGAAGAGCCTTGTGACCATGTCATTGGAGAAATGGAAACTCAGTGGCAAATGTTCTCAAGCCAAGCAGAGAGCAACTCCTTCCATTCTGATATTTTAGTTCTGCCTAGGAAGACCCTGAGAAGCAGTCTAAACCTATGTTGGCCAAGGCTGATGGGAGATGGGGTCCAACAGTGTCTTTGAAGGCCATAGATTCCTTACCCATTCCAAAAACTTCAGGTCAACCCCTCTGACTTAGCACCCCAAGATGAAGGCTGTGCTATACAAGAGGGGTTCATAACTTTGATCAACAGCCCTAGTTCTAAGCATACCACTTGGAAATAAATCCTATAGTTTTTGGTGGGTCTCATTTCCCAATGAACTTCTTTAGAAGGCAGTAGAAATCTCAAAATGGGCACACTTGATTAGATTGTGCACCTTGGGTCTCCAAATGCTGGTAGCCTACTACTCATTTCATATTTGATGGTTCACTGTGATGGTTGGAGTTATTGGAAGCAAATGGTCCAACGACTTCTGGAAACACATGGTTGAGGAACGCAGGTCTACACCACTGTATCCCATAGCTGCAGGGAAATTATTCTGCAGACGTTGCAGTGCTTGGATTGTAGAGGGAATCTAGACACCTTACCTATGTTGTCACACCCGGCTACTGCTTTTAGGTGACTACAATTTGGCTATAATTTTGAAGGAGACAGGAGCTGGGGCTGTAATTTGAGCAGTGAGCATTTGCAATGTTTCTTGAGAGCGGCTAATGATCTAAAGTCTTCCAGTGATGATAATTAAAATTATAGTTTCATGAGGCTACAGGAAGTAGATGAAGGCAAGCCGAAAGTCCACCATTTGAAAGTAAATCATTGTTATTGAACTGGCCTCAACAGTGCAAGGAATTACAAGTTTTCGTTCAAGAAGAGGTGTCCTGACACACTTCCACCACAGGAGGGCAGGCATTTCCAAACAATTATTATTATTTTTTAATATATATATGTAAAAATAAATTCCTGCATCCCAAGGGGAAAAATCAATTTAAGAACTAGGGACTATACCCACAAAAGGTGCAAACCTTTCAGTATTCCACTCTTTTTCATGTTTGGAAAGTCAGAAAAAATACTTCTGGAGTGGTAGATGCTATTTTGCAGTGGGGGTTGGAGCCTGGTAGGTATCAATGGAACTATGTCCATTTGCACCCATCTCCTCTGTAGATGGGACACGGGTGGTGCTGTGGGTTAAACCACAGAGCCTAGGACTTGCCAATCAGAAGGTCGGCGGTTCGAATCCCCATGACAGGGTGAGCTCCCATTGCTCGGTTCCTGCTCCTGCCAACCTAGCAGTTTGAAAGCACGTCAAAGTGCAAATAGATAAATAGGTACTGCTCCGGAGGGGAGGTAAATGGCGTTTCCGTGCACTGCTCTGGCCACATGACCCGGAAGCTGTACGCCGGCTCCCTCAGCCAATAAAGTGAGATGGGCGTCGCAACCCCAGAGTTGGCCACGACTGGACCAAATGATCAGGGGTCCCTTTACCTTACCTCTGTAGAACTCCACTGCAGCAGCTGTTTGCAAGCCATCAGGAGGAAGGTAACTTTCCCCATAAAGCAAGAGGATTTCTCCCCTGATTTTTAATTCACAAAAGTAAGTCCATGGAGGGAACAGCTTTGGTTCTGGGCTTTGGATCATGGTCATTGGACAGTGACTTACAGGTGCAACGAAACCTTTCTCATTGCAGCTTCTGTGTTGATGTAATATTTTTAAAATAATAATAATAATAATAATAATAGGCACAATTACTCTGCCAGTGGGAGAATACCCTCTGATTCTGTCACTACCGTTCTTTTCTTTTTTAAAAAGGTATGTTGCACATAATCAGTTTCAAATGCCTTCCATACGAAGCAGGCATCTCACGTTGCAATCCTTCGAAACAATCCTGTCTACTGGGGATGAACCTGAACAGTGGTGGGTTGTGACCTGGAGTGCGATCCATGCCACCCTGAAGTCTATAGAATCACAGAGTTGTAGAGCTGGAAGGGACCATGAGGGTCATCTAGTCCAACCCCCTGCAATGCAAAAATCTTTTGCCCATAGTGAGGCTTGAACTCACAACCCTGAGATTAAAAGTCTCATACTCGACCAGTTGAGCCACGAGACCACTCCCATTGCTTTGTGCCCTTTAGTGGTAATTGGCAAACATGGATAAGTATGAGAAACGCCGGCTTAGCCACTTCTCCTCTCTTTAGGGCTGCCTTCCCCAACATGGTGCCCTCCAGATGTTTTGAACCACGACTTCCATCTGCCTTGGCCCACGTGGTTATATTGGCTGGGGTTGTTGGGAACTGTAGTCCAAAACATTTTAAGGGCGCCCAGCTGGGGGAGTGCTAATATAGGTCATATGTAATGGAACACAGCTCAAACAAATAGCCATGACTTTTGCATATGGGGAACGGGCATCTAAATCAGCGATGAGCAACCTGTGGTCAGTTCAGTTCATAGAATCATAGAGTTGGAAGGTACCCTGAGGATTATCTAGTCCAGCCTTTCTCAACCTGTGTGTCCCCAGATGTTCTTGAACCACAACTCCCATCACCCCTAGCTAGCAAGGCCAGAGCTCAGGGATGATGGGAGTTGTAGTCCAACAACATCTGGGGACCCACAGGTGGAGAACCGCTTCTAGTCCAATCTTCTGCAATGCAGGAATATCCACCTGCCCCATATGGGAACTGAACCTGCAACCTTACTGGGCTACAACCTGCAGTATCCCTGGCCTTTGGCCATGCTGCCTGGGGCTGATGGAAATTTGGAGCCCAACAGCATCTGATTTGCATGACATAAGGGGAAGAAGAAACCTCAAGTCCAGGTATTGAATGGAGGAGCCCTCCAGGCCTCTCTGCCTGACTCCAGGCCAAACCTCCTCTCCTCACCCCTCGCTGGCCTTCCTTCACACCATCCTTGAGAGTTTTTGCCAGACTGGCATGTATCTTTGGACTCTGGTCATGCCTCTCGCTGGCATGGATGAAGGACAGTGAGGGGTGTCTGCAGAAACTAGCATAATGCAGAAACTAGCATAATGTGCAACGGTGAGATTTTTCACATGCTGCCTCTGCATGCTTTTGCCTTTGGTGCAGCCCATCACCAGCACATGCAAGGTTCCCTGGAAGGGAATGCAGCTCTCAAGGTAAAAAAAATAAATGTTCCCCACCCCAATATCAAGTATGGGTGCCTGAGAACAAGAATACATGCCAGCCTTCAAGGGCTGGATTAAAAATTAACCCAAAGCCTCTGCCATTGGAGGACCCTAAGCAATTCAGGTTTTTTCAGCTCATCTATGGGATTCACAAAGACCAGTCCTCCGAGCAGGAATGAATGAGAAAGACGTTTACATATCAACATGTGCGTATCAAAACTGCCAGGCTGTATATAACCTGCAGAAGCTGGGGATCTTTGGGACTATCTGTTCTTGGGTGTTTAAGAGAATCATTTATTCCTCACCTGTTCCTCAACTTGAATTGATGCCAGGGTTTTCTGCGGCAAAACTATGTCACTTGTGCACTATTTTTAAATTTTATTTATTAAATATATACACCACCCTTTATCAAAAGATCTCAAGGCGGTTCACAGAACAAAATGCAAGATAAAACACAAGTAAACAATTAAACCAAAACAACAACACCCCCTTTCCCACAGACATATTTAAAGGGCTTTAGGGTATTAATCAGCCAAAGGCCAGGTTGAAGAGGAACTTTTTTTGCCTTGTGCCTAAAAATATATGATGAAGGCACTAGATATTTGCAAATTGTGTGAAGCCTTAGAATTGCAGTTGAAAAAGACACTGGATCGGTTCTGACAAGTTTTCTGCCACTGTGTACTATAATACTTGCAGCTGTTATGTGGCGAGAATCGAGTGCAACAGAGCTGTCTAAAAAGGAGTTTGGTCCATAACAATCACCACAATTGAAGCTGCAATTTGTTGGAAACTTACCTAGGACTAAATATCTCACTGAGCACCAGTGGGGCTGACCTCCAAGGAAATTTACCCATGTTCACAATGCTAACCCTCATGGGGCAGGCTGCAATTTGTACAATGGGAGTTGTCTATGGAAACCATTATTGTACTGGGCTCCTTGTACAAGGAGTGTGAAGGAGCAGATAGAATGGTTGGCCTTTTCACCAGGGAGTAACTGGGCTCAGCCATGGCATTTGCTGGTTGGTCTCTTACAAAATTGTTCTGAAAACAAAACAGGGCTGCCTCTCTGAACTCCTTGGAGGAAGCATGGGGGAAAGACTTGACCAATGAACTGAGAAGTCAACATACCCTAGGAAAACCACTGGCTGGCTTTGACCTGGTGTGGCATTAGCAATTTAAACGGGGTGTTGGCTGGTCAACTAGGGGTGTGAAGCCTGCAAACCCTACAAATGTTGCTGGACTGCACACTCCCATCTTCCACCATGACTACTGGGCAGTGCTGTTTGGGGGTGATGGGAGTGGCTCCTAGGCTCCCCAATCTGGTGTAAATAAAAGCGGCATTTCAAATTCTTGGTGAGAGGGAGTCTCCTTAAATTAGAAGACTGAGAGTTACCAGAGTTCTGCATCATCTCCTCTATTCTCGTTTTCTGTAGAACACCCTACAGAGTATGTTTCGTGCACAGGTGGATATTATGTCATTTCCCCACTGTGTTTAGATTCTGTCAAGTGCTCTGATTCCCTTTCTTTGACCTTCATACCTTCAAAGACAGTAAACACGTAAATCCCACCCCACGAAGCTAATCCGATTTGCAGAGGCAGGACCTGTGAATCGCTCTACTTCTCCCCCTCCACGTATAGACAAAAGGGACGTATATAATGGATCATTGTTCAAGCCTTCCGTCTCATCTGAACTGCCTCTGCTGTTGCTCCAGGGCCAGGCCTTCGGTGGCCATAAGGCGAAGCAAAGCTGCTCTACTCCCGCACTGCCCGCTCTGATCCGAGGAAAGGGGAACAGCTTTCTGGATCACCCAAAAGTCCCAGCAGAAACTCTACGAAACGGCTCCCCTTTCGTAGCCCCCTGCCCCCCAGCACCGGAGGACTGACTTCTGAGCAAAAAGACAGCAGGAAGAACTTTCTGACAGTAAGAGCTGTTCCACAGTGAAACAGACATATTCCGACGAGAGGCGGTGCACTCTCCTTCCTCAGAGGTTTTTAAACAGAGGTTGGGTGGTCCTTTTGTCTTGTATGATTTAGTTCAGATTCCCGCACTGGTGAGGGTTGGACTAAATGACCCTCAGGGTCCCTTCCAATTCTATAATTCTAGGATTCCAGGATTGTGAGGCACGTTGAGAATTTGATTTTGCACGCTTAGGCTGCCTGCACACCATCCGTTTAAAGCGCGCGGCTTCCCCACAAAGACGCCTGGGAACTATAGTTCACTCCTCACAGAGTTCCAATTCCCAGCATCCTAACAAATCAGCGTTCCCAGGATTTTTTGGGGGTGGGGGTGGGGTGGGAATCGCGCGCTTTAAATGGATGGTGTGTAGGCAGCCATAGACGCGCCTGAACCTATTGGCTGACTTAAATGAGCTGTGCCAAACTTAACCCAAGACAGGGCTGCTATGTCGTTTGATCACTCAAAAGCAACAGCAATCGCAAACGTGTTTAACTCAAGAGTAAGGGTCATAGGATATCACGCGAATAACAAGTGCCTTTGTGGTTGCAGTCCAGGTACCGGGCAGAGGACGCGCGGGCCGCGGTAGAGCTCGGCAGGGGCCGCGGCGACTCCAAAGGGAACCTGAACTGCGCTGCCCGCAGCGCCCCGCTCCTGCGCTCGATCGATCCGCAGTTGCAGGGTCGCTTCAAATCTCGGCTTTAGCCCTAGGAAGTTCCCCTCTTTATGTTGAGCGGGCGGAGGGAGGGAGGGAGAGGTGTGTGTGTGTGGGGGGGGGAGTCCGTCGTCGTCTTCCACAAGCAGAGCTTTATCCTTTCCAACCCCCCTTTCGGAACAGAAGCATTTGGCACGCGCAACTCTGGAAACATTTCCACTCCCAAAGGAGCTGCCGAGCGCCGTGAAGAAATAGGTACATCTTTCTTCCAAGCGCGGGCCGGGCGGGCAAGGAAAAGTCTCGCGGCGGGCCGGAGCTCCGGCAGCTCCTCCTCCCGGCGAGCCTGACGGCTCGAATCCGGAAAGTTGTGGCAGAGGAGAAGCGAAGAGCGCGCTCAGTACCCCTCCGCGGCTGGGGCTGAGCGTATGTGTGCCTGCTTGTATGCGTGTGTGTGTGTGTGTAAGCTGGAGGGGGGGCCGCCTGGAGGAGGGAAGTCCAAAAAGGGGGCGGCGTTCCCTTTAAAAGCCGCCTGCCCTGCCGCGCTTCCTTGCAGCACCAGCAACCCGCCGCGCCAGCCTCGCCTAGGCTCTCCCGGTTCGCTCACAGGCCGCCTGGCGCTTGGCGAGCGCGCCTCCAGCCCCCGCGCCCGTGACCTCAGCCCGAGCCGAGCAGCCACAAAAAGCCCCGAGAGGGAGAGGCCGCCAAGAGAGAGAGAAAAAGAGAGAGCGGCGCAGGCAGCTCCCCTTGCAGGAGAAGCAGGAACAAGCAGCAAGAAGCGCTCGACGCCGGAGCCCAGGGCGCAGGCAACGCGCGGAGAGAGGCAGGAGCCGGGTCGTGCGCTCTTGCCGCCGAGCCACCACCAGGAGCCGCCGGAACCGAGCAGCAGCAACAGGAGGAGGAGCAGCGGCAGCGGCTGGCCGGGCCACTAACTCTGCCTGCTCGCTCTTGCTGCTGCTTTTCTTTTGCAGCCAGGAACGAAAGCGCACGACCCAGAGGAGTGGGGGGAAAGTGGCCCGTTTGGAGAGATCGGAGGCGGAATCCAACGCTTCACGGCTGCTGATGCCAAGGGCATTTTCTTAAGGAGAAGGGAGCTGCTTTCTATTGACATCCGAGCAGGAGCGCCGAGGGGGCGCGCATTGCCGGCTCTCGGCCCGGGAAAGGGACGTTTCTTCGCCCCCGACCCTCCGCGGCTCCTTTCCCCGGCAGTTTCGGATCCTGAGCATGTTTCCCCGGCGGGCCGGGCCCTGGAGAAGGACGCCGGCGGTGCGTGCTCTTCCCCCGAGCTTGGCTCTGGGGCAGCGCCCTTGCAGCCGGGAGTGATGCGGCGCCCGGGAGAGGCCAGCGGGCCAGAGAGCAGCAGCTGCAAATCCGCGACCGCCGCGTCTACGTCGTCGTCTTCTTCTTCGTCTTCCTCCTCGCTTCGTCCAGGTTAGACCAGGAGCGAGACCATGCCCGGGAGGTTTCTTCCTCTGCGCCGAGAAGCGAGCTCGGGCTGCAGCGCTGGAGAGGAGCTCGACTAGAGAGCGAGGCTTCGGAGGCGCTTGGAACGTTTGCTTCCCCTTTTGCCTCGGCTGCGCTCGCCGCAAACTTCCCAGGGAGGGAGGGAAATTGAGCACAGCTCCTCGCCGCTCGTGGACAGCTCTCCTCCCCGATCCCGGAGTAAGGAGGTGGGGGTTGGAAAGACCACCACCACCACCCAAAAAAAGAAAAAGAAAGAACGGATCGCACATCCCCCCCGCTTGATCGGCTACGCTACTTCCATGTGGAGGTTGGCTCCATGGACGTCCCCGAGTGTGCTGCTGCTGCTTCTTAGGCGATCGGCGGGATCCTAAAAGGTAGCAGGAGGCAGGGGGCGCTGGGGAAGGAGGGCGCGCGCGGTTTCGAACTCGGCACATGGCCACACCTGCCGGGAAACTTCCCGCGGGGACTCCCTACAGATTCTTTCCTCCGCGTTCCCCAGACTGTTGATCATACCTCCTTCTCCACAACAAAAACAGTCGTGAGTCTTCCTAGGAAGTATGAATTAAAGCTAATGGTAAACGAGACATTTCTGGTGGCAGATCTCCCTCTTGGCATGTACCTTGCTCACTTGTTGAGAGAATGCGGGAGGTGTGTATCCCTTTTGCTTCCCCCCTTCTCTTTCTCCCCCGTGACAAGACCCCCGCCCAGCTGCCCTCTTCCCCAGAACACTTTGCTGCGCAAGTTAACTGCTTGCAGCGCCCATCCTAAGCGCCTTGCAGTATCCCGGGCCACAGGTGGCGGGCGGGGAGAGTACTGGGCAGGTTATTACGCGGCAGCATCCCTCTGCTTTATATTGCAAGAAGTCCTGGCTGGGAAACACTTCTAGCAGGCCTCCGGAGTTGCTGCCGGTGTTGCTCTGCTGGCCCGGTCACTTGCTGAAATTGCTTTTTTCGGGGTGTATCGCTTCGCTCTGCAAACTGCCGGATCCCCACCCACCGCTGTTTCGGGAGCTTCTGAAACATGAGTCCCTTTCTAGCCCATTATTGTAACGCGCCCCCCGCGCACCTCCATTCGCAAATCTCATTGATTTCGGTAGAAACATCTCCGCGCATTAACCGTGGGTGGGGAACTGGTTCCAGATGTTGATGAACTACAGCTCCCATCATGCCTGACCATCACCCGTGCTGGCTGGGGTTGATGGGAGGTGGAGTCCAACGAAGTCTGCAGGGCCACAAGTTCATCACGGCTGGCCTCTTAACAGTTAGAGAGGATCGTTTACCGTAGCCGAATGAATCCGAGGCACGGGAAAGGGGTGCTGGAGAGTGGAGTTTTAGCTCGGTTTTACTGTAGCAGGCTTTTGAAAGGAAGAAATTCCAACAAACTTAAATGCACGTCCAAGCACTTTACTAGAGGAGCGCACGCGCCCCTGAACTAAAGCAGCAGAAAGGCGCTCTCTCCATGTAAACGAGATCCTTGAATGAAACGGCTCACATGGATAAAGTTCTAGCTAGCAGCCTTTGCAACCTTTTGCTTGTGGCTGCCGATGCCCCGCTCATTATGCTGGATCCCCAAACTATTAAAATGCGGAGCGAAGGGGGCGGGGAAGAGATGAAATAAGGTTTCCATTAGCTATGTGTAGGTTACAGGATGTAAAGGAAGGGAGTGAGGGGGAGAAAGCGGGGAGTCAGGCAGTTTCAGGTCACAATCCAGCACACTGTCAGGTGCACTTGGTTTTGAATGCCTCATTCTGTGCTGACTTGTTGCCTTGGTGCATCCTCTAATTGTTTCCAGTGGTTTTGTCCAGCCCTTGGGGAATCGATGGGCTATAAAACTTAAAGCCCACTCTCCTTGCAGACCTAGGAGGCTGGAAGCTCCTCTTGATAAATGTTTCACTGCAGTCAAAAAGGCTCGTGTCCTTCCCCTTCCCCATGTAATTCTCCTTTCTAAAAAGCCACTCCGCGATTACTTGTTCTTTCTTTACCATATTCACCTCCTGTCTCTCATTCCACACCTTCTACTACATGCATGCCCGGGTTTTGTCCTCCCACCAGTGCAGCGGAGCCACCTTACAGCAGGCTAGGAATCAGCTCAGAGATCACAGTCCCATAATGCTGGCTCTCCAGCCTCCCCTCAAACCCCACCACGCCACACCCTGCAATACTTCCTTCCTTCAGCTACGTCCCAGCATGCAGCTATGCTTGGGGGCTCTTCACACAATACTAATTATAACAGTTCTGTCTCTATTTATTCTCTGGAGTGAACAGTTGCACTCAAATAGCCCAGGAGCCACGGTGTGGGCTTGTGAATATAATTATGAAAATTCATATGATTGTGGAGGTATCCTCCACACCATATCATGGACAAATGTGTCAATATCTTGCTGCAGGGTTTTATCCCACCCTTCCTTCAAGGGGTCGTGGGTGGCGTTTTTAAGTGAGCCACCCAAAACCGCAGGGTCTTTCATGTGCTTGCTTCCTTCTGAAATTTCCATTTCACACAGTCCTTTCTTTTGCCAGCAATCGCAAAGTTGTCCACGGTGGGGAGCAGGTTGTGTGTTACCAATATTGTTTTGTGTGACTTCCCTCTATGGGTTGTATTCAACTAATGTTTACTCTGTTGAAATTAATGAACCCAGGTTACTTATGGCCATCGATTTCAGTGGGTCTACTCTGAGTATAACCTGTTTTTTCCTGGATTAAGAGGATCCATTTGTGGGCTTTGCTTGGGCCTTTCAGCCGCAGGATTGTGAATTGCCTTCGCTTTCAGCTACTTATTCCCCATTGCCCATAATACCAGTTCCTACCAATCTTGGTCCATGTGGGCAGCTTCCATAATGTGCTGGCAGATTGCTACCCACCCCAGCAACTGTGGACATATGAGAGAGAGAGGAAAAACAATATCCTGCCACAGTTCATGTCAGTACCAAAGTTCCCACTGGGGTCAGGACTGTCTGTCATAAACTTCACTTTCAGGGAGATGGAGAAGGTCCTACCTACAAGGACCATGGGAGCTGGGAAGGGTTATTTATAGATCAATGATAAAACTACGGTTTTGCATTCAGAAAGACCCTAGTTGGATCCCTGGCATTTCCAGGCTGGTCTGGGCATATCGCGTCTGAAATTATACAAAACTACTGGCAGATAAAGGGACGCGGGTGGTGCTGTGGGTTAAACCACAGAGCCTAGGACTTGCCGATCAGAAGGTCGGCGGTTTGAATCCCCACAACGGGGTGAGCTCCCGTTGCTCGGTCCCTGCTCCTGCCAACCTAGCAGTTGGAAAGCACGTCAAAGTGCAAGTAGATAAATAGGTACCGCTCCGGCGGGAACGTAAATGGTGTTTCCGTGCGCTGCTCTGGTTTGCCAGAAGCGGCTTAGTCATGCTGGCCACATGACCCGGAAGCTGTACGCTGCTCCCTCGGCCAGTAAAGCAAGATGAGCGCCGCAACCCCAGAATCGGCCACAACTGGACCTAATGGTCAGGGGTCCCATTACCTTTACTGGTAGATAAGACTGAGCTAGATGGCACCAATGGAATGGCTTTGTAGAAGGTGGTTTCCTATGTTTCATGGAGTGAAAGCAGCCGTGAAGCTTAGAAGGACCTTACACTTTGCTCATGCTGGTTTTGCCCTACAGCGCTTCCTCGCCTGCCAACTCAACCTCTTCCATTCTCCCCAGGTTGATGACCATGGTTGCCAGGACCTGCTCTCTACTAGCACTGCTGCTTTATCACATACTGCTGGGTGGTTCGGCCAGCCTCATCCCGGAGGTGGCCGACAGGAGAAGGTTCAGCGGAGACTTGGGCCGTGTCACTCCCCTGCAACTCTCTGAAGGGATCCTGCGCGAATTTGAACTGCGCCTGCTCAATATGTTTGGACTCACGCGGCGGCCCACCCCAAGCAAGGACATCATCATCCCTCCCTATATGTTGGAGCTCTACCATCTGCACACCAGCCAGAAGCCAACAACTATGGACTATAACCTGGAGAGAGCTGCCAGCAGAGCCAATACTGTCAGGAGCTTTCACCATGAAGGTAAGGAGGGATGCTCTTAGCTCCTGCTTCCACTGCCCAAGGCCTAACAAAAATAGGCCTTGGAGATTCCATCCCCCCTGTCCCCTGCCCCCTGCAAATTGGAATGCTGCAATTGCCAAGACGTTTGGTGGTTGGATATTTGGGAAGGCCCACATAGCTCAGTAGGGGAGCACCTGTTCCCATCATCTCCAGGTAGGATGCAGACAGACCCCTGCTTGAAATCTGTTCAGTGCCAAATGCAGCAATGGCCTTGATTTCTTGTGCTCCTTACACTTCACCCATTAGATATATGCGATGTATCTCTTGCTATTAAAGCAGTTGCGAATTCTTCATTATGCAATTTGAATCTCTGCCTGGTTTGGTTGGTGCTACACTGGTATGTTCTAACGAGACAAAGCGTATCGCTCAAATTTGGTTAGCTGAAAAGTGCAGTTTAAATGTACGGTTTTTCCTTCAGAGCATCTATGCTAGGAAGGAAGAGATTACCGCACTGTGTGAATACAGCTGAAGTGTGAGTCTCTCCTTGTGGTGTTTCTGCTCTAACTCCTCTTGGCTTTCTCTTAGTTCAGCGCAGCCCTGTCTCAACCATTTAAAAATGAATCAGGGTTCTGAAACTAATCTTGCCCATGTTGACTTGGAAATAGGTAGCCTTCTTTCACAGTCAAAGTTCACACCTGGAAACACCAGGAGGAATTCAACATCTCACTCCTCTGATCAGGGCAAGCATTTTGCAACAATCTCCCTCTTTCTCCTTCTGTGTGCTGTGTGACCGGACTCATTCTGGCCACTGTTTTGAATGATTGTGGTGGGTGGGAAGCTTTCAAAACATGAAACCATGTTTGCAGTAACGTAGATGTGTATGTGAAGACAGTACCGTGCCCCTTTCAGTACATGCACATTAGTTTTTGGATCCCAAAATGAACAGAAATGGTTATCTCTGCATGGCTGCCAAGCCTCCTGGGCTGGATCCAAGCGCAAGCCATTGTTAGAGCAGACCCGCTGGAATCGGTGAGACTTCACTTAGTCATCCCATTGACTTCCATGGGTCATCTCCGGAATTACAACCAACCCAAAGATTGCAGTTTCAGCCTGTGATTTCTAAAAAAAAGAAAGCTATTTGAAGAACACTGACACGTTGCGTATCCCCTCCCCTGCATGATGATGAACATCACAGAAACACATGGCCTTGCATTTTGAGACATTTTTAAACGCACAGTCCATAGTTCTAAGACAGGGGTCAGCAAACTTTTTCAGTCCGTTGTCCCTCAGACCTTGTGGGGGGCCGTATATTTTTTTGGGGGAAATGAACGAATTCCTATGCCCCACAAATAACCCAGAGATGCATTTTAAATAAAAGGACACATTCTACTCATGTAAAAACATGCTGATTCCGTGGGCTGGATTTAGAAGGCGATTGGGCCGGATCCGGCCCCCAGGCCTTAGTTTGCCTACCCATGTTCTAAGATGAATAAAAGTTTTTGATTTTTTTTAAAGATTATTTAATTTTTCTAAATATATTTCTGAAGATTGAGCCTGTCACTGCCATTGTGTTGGCGGCAGAAACTCCCTTCCCTCCCTCCTAAAGAACCAGTATCCCGCTTATGCTAATAATGTGGGTGGCCAATTTGCCCAGAGGAGTGTAGAGACCAGTTTTTCCTCGAGGTGATGAACGTACAGATGGTAGGAAACAACCTGGAGCAAAAATGAGGAGGAGTACAAGGAATGTCGCATTTCCCCCTTTAAATAGCTAGCAATTTTAGTTGCTGGCTATGTTTGTTTCATTAAACCTTAAGAATGGCAAACTACATTTCTAACTCTGCTGAACTCTTCGTTCTGTGCCTTATATTCATTTATCAATTTTTAAAAATTGACTTACATTGATCCAGAGCAAGAGAAGTGGGTGGTTTTTTTTTTAATTCTACAGATTCTGTCCAGATTATGAGTTCCTACCAATAAATTTAAATGTTGCAGGCTAAATAGGAAAAAAAAAAGTCTGTCTAATTTACAGTTGGCAATCAGGGTAACTTGGAAGGATTTCTAATCCCCATCTAATCCCCGTGAGAGATCAATTTAACAATCAATTGTATTGTCTCCACCATGACTTTGTCTTCTGTTTAAATCTAGATTTAGTGGAGACCCAAGGTAAGCCCTTCAGAAAGCAAGGCTGATAAGTTTTGGAGCAGCTGCCCACTGGATTTCATGGGCACCTGGGGCTTTAGGTCACTCAGATTAAAAACCACAAGCAAATATGTACTTAACCAGACAGAACAATTGGGAGTAAATGCAACACAATCTTCAGATGCTCTGTTGCCACTTATTCTTGTATTTTTGAACTAGGCCAGTTTGCTAAATGAAAGGCAACTTGCTTGAACTTTTATGCAAAGTGCTTATATCCGAGTTCCTTAAACTTGAATGAACTTGTCCTCAGCACTACTGGGCAAAGCTTTACATTGTATTTGCAAAGGGTTTTTTTGTTTTGTTTTTGCTGCTGCTGCTGCTGCCATCTCTGTTCAATGCAAATCCAAAAGTTTCGCCATGATTGCGGCAATCTTCTTTCTTCTCCCCTCCATTTATGACTCTAAGCACATTTTTTGTGTGTGTGATTAGCAAAGTCACATTGAATTAGCTAGACTTACAGGTTCCTTTCTGTGTTTCTGCATCCCAGCCACAGATACTTTGATGCAACACGTGTACAAATAATAAGCATTCAGAGGATGTGAATCTAGTGTTTTCTGCAGAAAGGCTATAAACTTGCAGTTGTCAACCTTTTCACGGGCGGCATCGATGGATTGTAGAATTGGGGGGAGAGAGACGGAAGCAACTGCTTAGGTTACACATAATATAGAGCTGGGCTGGCAAGGAAAGATAAATAAATATGTATTTTAATTAAGTTTCTCCACAAGGGGTGTGGCCTGCGTAGTGATTATTCTAACTAATAGCAAGTCTTAATGAGGAAAGAGATTAATGGTGTAACTTAAACTTGCACTGTGGCTTATGCTGCTTTGTGTGTGTGAATATAAAACTAATGAATGGGAGAACTTCCAGTAAACATTTCAATTGTGCCAAAATGCATCTTAACGTAGAACTACATACATATATGAGTGGGCAGAGGGAGGGAAGGCTAGCAAGTGTTTCAGTCAGCTTCCTTGCTGCAACTTGGCAACAATCCTTATTCCAACAAAATAAACCCTTGGGCGATAACCCTACACCCCTTTGCTTGGGAGTAAGTCCCACTGAAGCAGAGAAGCAATGACTTGGCTATTGCGGTCCAGTGATCTATATAGCTCAAGAGAGAACTTAAACCCAGGTCTAAGTCTTTCCCTAAGTCTGTTCTTTATTGTGGGAAGCCTGTTCTTTCAAGCCGATTCAAAGGGCTGTTCTCTCCCCCCCCAAAAAAAATACAATAAAAGAAAACACCTAAAAGCAGCTTATCTAGAGAGAGCCGCCTTAAAACAGCAGCAGAGATAACAGGTTAGTTTTTAAAGGCCTTGGGAAATAGAAAGGATGTTAGGGAATACAACCATTATGGTAGGTCTTTCGGGGGGGGGGTTATATTGTAAACCACCCAGTGATCCTCTGAGGAAGGGCAGTATAGAAATTTAATTAATTAATAATAGTAATAATCATCACCACCTTATGCCCTGAGGCGTCTCCCTGGCATGTCAGCTACTGAAAGGCCCTTTCACAGGTGCGCTTGAGAGGAAAGGGAGTGCCTAGACAATAGTGGGGTTTAAATACGAGAAATAGTGTGGAGGAACTGGTTCAATGCTAATTTGCTGGCGGTTGAGGGCTGCAAGATCTGGAGGGCTGCAGGTTCCACACCTCCTGTGACCAGGATACAGATGTGCTTACAGAGAACCCACAGGGAAACCTGTTTTTCCCTCTGACTGTTTTGCCGTAGCTTGCTACAGAAAAAACACACACACTTAACTTTACTCTGAAAGCTCTAAAAACCTGACGCGATCATTTACTTTTCCTCGCAGTTCCAAGTGCCACAAATTATTTGAGCAAATCGTTAGATTGTTTCTTTATTTCCTTTAATAAACCCACAGGCCCTTGTTGCAAGTGCACTGTTTGCAGTTTGCAATATCCTCCCCCCCCCTGCTCCCCGTCACATCCAATCTCATAAACCAGCCCAGTTAAAATAAGAGGCCTCTCCCTCCGTCAGTTGAGCATGAGGGTCTTAATCTCAGGGTTGTGGGTTCGAGCCCCGCTTTGGACAAAGTTTCCTGCACTGCAGGGGGTTGAACTAGATGGCCTTCATGGCCTCTTGCAACTCTACAATTCTAAGATTTTGCCTCTCTGGGTAGGGAATTCCACAACCATGGAGCCACTGTATTGGTCCCTGTCAGCCTAACCTCTCTCCTCAGCAAGCACATGTCTGCCACTGACCTTTAATCTCTGGCTTAGCTCTCTGGGCAATGGCAAAACCTCTGCCTTTGCACCTTTGTAACCATGCAAAACATGGGTTCGTTGGTGGTTTTGGGGGATGGGGCGGGGGTTTGTTTAGCTCTGCCTTTGTTTTGCACATGTCAGTTCAAAGCCACTTAAGAGAAGTGTCCAATTAAAGCACCAATGATGTAGATAGGGCAGGAATTAAAAACAAATCGAATGTGAGGTAAACACAGCGTGGCTGTGGCTTGTTATTCTCGTGAACCCTCCCTAGCCATTGGGTGAGCAGCTGTTTTTTTTCCCTGTTGCAAAACTTGGCGGGGGCAGGGCGGGAATGGGAAAGCAAGAGGCAAGGAGGGGTTTGGGTGGAAAGAGACGGAAAGATGGCAGCCGGTTGCTGGCTCTGAAAGGTAGTGAGGAGTCGCCAGATGCAGTAGGGTGAGGATAGAAGATGGCCCTGGGGTACAGGGCAGTGCAGGATAAAACACTGCAGCAGTTTTTCCTCTGAGTAAAAGGAAGCAGGGGGACTCCCATCAGGACAGGGCGAGGAAAAACAAGGGTGAAGTAGACACCAGGGGTTTGTGGTGGGTGGAAACCCCAGGAAAGAGTGTAGACTCAAAGGACTGGGAAATGGCTTCCGTTTTCCTCAGAAGATGTTCTTCTGGAGAGATGGAGAATTTGTGGTCCTTCTGATGTTGCTGGGACTACAACTCCCATCAGCCCTAAACACTGGAGCATGCTGGCTGGGGTGGTTGGGAACAGGGGCCCACAGTTCCCCACATCCCCTCATCTTGTTGTTCTGGCACTTTTTAGAGATGCTTACAGAGTTGTTGGGACGTGGGTGGCGCTGCGGGTTAAACCACAGAGCCTAGGACTTGCCAATCAGAAGGTTTCCGGTTCGAATTCCCGCGACGAGGTGAGCTCCCGTTGCTCAGTCCCTGCTCCTGCCAACCTAGCAGTTTGAAAGCACGTCAAAGTGCAAGTAGATAAATAGGTACTGCTCCGGCGGGAAAGTAAACGGCATTTCCGTGCACTGCTCTGGTTCGCCAGAAGCGGCTTAGTCATGCTGGCCACATGACCTGGAAGCTGTACGCCAGCTCCCTCGGCCAATAAAGCGAGATGAGCGCCGCAACCTCAGAGTCAGCCACGACTGGACCTAACGGTCAGGGGTCCCTTTACCCTTTACAGAGTTGCTGAGAGAGGAGAACAGTCCGACCCTAAGACATCTTGCTGTCAAATGCTACACACTTCACTTACAGCCAGTGCTTTGAAAGGAGTCTTACAATGCTGTTCACAAACCACTCCCTGCCATTTTGTAGCCTGCACCTATTTTGGTGCCACATGACCAGGTGGCTTCACCCTAAAGCATGTCAGGGCCACCCCTGCAAGAGACTCCATGTGCTCAGGCATACATGTGGCCTCACTGCAGATGGGTGTAGAGTGCTCAGGACAACCACATTTAGAGGGAGCCAGTTATAGTTAGCTTTCCTGCAAATGCTTGGGAGATACCCGTTGTCCACCATAGACTTGTGTACTTTAAATGCAAGCTCTTGTTTAGGTGACCATAGAGGAAAGGGACTCTGAAGTCGGATGTTGGGGAATAAGGAGATACCTTTGGATTATGGTTGTGTTTCCAAAGTTGCGCTGGGAACAGTTAGGCTGGAATCCAAAACTTGTTCCTTTGGAATTTAATATTGGTGACACTTCCAAGTAAATGGAACACCAACGGAGCAAAGTTGCTGTTAAGATAGTTTACAATATGCTTAGACTTAGCCACAGTTGTTGCATTTATGCCCCCACCGGTAAAAGTTGCAATGTGTGGTGGTATTATCATTGCATAGTTCACCGAGTGGGCTGGACACATTTCCTGTTCGTAACCCAATTTAGAGGCTATCTGAGAATATGGATATTGTATCACATACTGAGCCCTTGGAATAAAACAGGAGTCAAATCTTCCCATTGCTTTCTCTTAGATTTCTTTGACTTGCACATGAATTTATTTCTGAACCCAAAGTGCAAATGAAGATTCACTCCAACTCCCATAAGTCCCTAAACAGGGTCAGGGATGGTGGAAATTGTAGACCAGCAATATCAACCTTGGGAGCAGCAGATTCCCTCACTCTTAGCCTTAATGCTTTAGTTAAATTTGGCAGCAATAGTACATCCTGTCAATACTGTACAGTGTTATTGGTCATAAGTAAATGTTAAATCATGGTACTACATTTCCCCAAAATTTTGTTTTCCAAAAAGCAGAACTCATACCTTTAAACTGTCTGAGAGTGCTCCAATCTTCCACATGGGATGCACATAATTCCCCCCGCCCAGTATGTCTTCATCCCCTCTCCTGAGCCTTCCCCCCCACCCCTCCTCACGCCATCCATATTAAAAAGAACAAAAAGGAAATGGTGTTTTGTGTCCCTGGCCACTTTAGACGATGACCAATATACTGCCTGTCTCCTGTTCAAATTTCAGCCACAAACTTAAGCAAACGTTCATTCCTCTGCTCCCACCTGTAATAACAAGTATTATGTAGGGGGTGAGCTTTCAGCAGTTAAAATTAGTAGTAGATTTTATAGAAAAGAACAGGACAAGGCACAACTCACAAAGCGCCTTCAAGGTCGGCAGAGTCTGTATGCCTGTTTGTCCCCTATTTTGCAGTTAACTGTTTGTAATAGCAGTGCAGTGGACAGGCAGTATGGATGATGAATTTGCCCAACATGTGATGCAGCTGTAGACTGTTGCAGTTCAATAGATCTGTGTGACTTAGTTGCCCACTCCTGCAATGCTGCCCATTGCAGGAACAATGCAAACAACTAGTCCTACCTGGTGCCCTGCAGATGTTTAAGACTACAGCTCCCATCAGCCCCAACCAGCACGCCTGCGAGCTATAGTCCCAAACATCTGGAGGGCGCCCGAATGGTTTAACTACTAAACCCATCCAAGTTATTTTCATTTAGGGCCTCCTTGAGTAAAATGACTGGGTGTGCTTTGTGGAAAGGTCTATAATTAGGAGACAGGGTTTTGGATAGTAAGTTTTGTAAATCATGAAACTTGTGGCACAATGCCTTTGGAATGGCTTTTGAGAGACTGACATGAAAACTGGAGGTAGGGGTTTGTTGTTGGCGTTGTGTTTTTTTTTAGGGAAATCTTTAAGAAATGCAATCCCTTTCCTTGATCCTCAGTCAGTTTTTAATTACTCTCCCTGGGCCCCTGCTAACCACAGTGTTAAAAAATGTTCTTTAATACCCTTGAATTCCAAAGCAATGCCTCACATTTCTTCCCCCTTATTACGACCACCTGGAATTCACAGCGCACTCCTATGAGATCTGAAATGTGTGGCAGCAAAGGAAGCATTTTAACATCATGTTTCGCGGGCTTGCCTAAACAAACAGAAAGACAAGAGCAACTGAAAAAAGGGAAAGGGGAAAAAGCCTTTTGAATTTCTAACGTAACACACGTATTGGCTTATGCTAATGTTATGGGAAATCTTCTATATCTGTTCTTGTGTTGTTTAGTCGTGTCCGACTCTTCGTGACCCCATGGACCAGAGCACGCCAGGCCCTCCTGTCTTCCACTGCCTCCCGCAGTTTGGTCAAACTCATGCTAGTAGCTTCGAGAACACTGTCCAATCATCTCGTCCTCTGTCGTTCCCTTCTCCTTGTGCCCTCCATCTTTCCCAACATCAGGGTCTTTTCCAGGGAGTCTTCTCTTCTCATGAGGTGGCCAAAGTATTGGAGCCTCAGCTTCAGGACCTGTCCTTCCAGTGAGCACTCAGGGCTGATTTCCTTAAGAATGGATAGGTTGGATCTTCTGGCAGTCCATGGGACTCTCAAGAGTCTCCTCCAGCACCATAGGGTACTTCAAATATTTCGTGGCATTATCTGAGTTACTGATTGTGTTTTTCTTCTTCTTCTTCTCTCCCCCCCCCAAACCAGAAACACTAGAAGAACTTCCAGAAAGAAGTGGGAAAACATCTCGGCGCTTCTTCTTCAACTTAACTTCCATCCCTGAGGGGGAGTTCATCACTTCAGCTGAGCTTCAGGTTTTTCGGGAGCGCATTCAAGACGCTTTTGAGAGCAATGGCAGCTCTTACCACCGTATTAATATTTATGAAATCGTAAAGCCCGAGAGAGAGGCCTCCCAGGACCCCATCACGAGACTTTTGGACACACGCTTGGTGCATCATAACGCCAGCAAGTGGGAAACGTTTGATGTGACACCGGCTATCATGCGGTGGATTGCACATGGACAACCCAACCATGGTTTTGTGGTAGAAGTGGCTCACTTGGACCCCAGGGAGAGCACTGCCTCCAAGAGGCACGTCCGGATCAGCAGGTCTTTGCATCAGGACGATGCCAGCTGGTCTCGGATCCGGCCGTTACTAGTGACCTTTGGGCACGACGGAAAGGGACACCCTCTCCACAAGAGAGAGAAGCGCCAGGCCAAGCGCAAGCACAACAAGCGCAAGTCCAATTGCAAACGGCACGATTTGTACGTGGACTTCAACGACGTGGGGTGGAATGACTGGATAGTGGCCCCGCCGGGCTATAGTGCCTTCTACTGCCACGGAGACTGCCCCTTCCCCTTGGCAGACCACCTGAACTCCACCAACCATGCCATTGTTCAGACTCTTGTCAATTCCGTCAACCCCAAAATCCCCAAAGCTTGCTGCGTGCCGACAGAACTGAGTCCCATCTCCATGCTCTACCTGGATGAGAACGAGAAGGTGGTACTAAAGAATTATCAAGACATGGTTGTGGAGGGCTGTGGCTGCCGCTGACGTGGCGGCAGGACGGAAAATGGACCAATGCAACAAAACAAAACAAAACTTGACACTTTAATATTTCCCAATGAAGACCTTATTTATGTTATGAAATGGAGAATTAAACGCATCTATTTTGAAAAAAAAAAATCTATTTATGTCTACAGAAAAAAGCGAGGAAAAAATATTTTAATCAGAGAATTATTCCTTTTAAAGATTTTTAAACGTATTAGTTGTACATTTTATATGGGTTTAAGTGCCCCCCCTTTCCCCCCTCAGCACATGAAGTATAAAGGTCAGATTGTTATTTTGTATTTATTTACTATTATAACCACTTTAGAAGAATAGCTAATTTGTATTTATATGTATAATCAAAAAAAAGCAGAAGAAAAAAAAATATAGGGTTTGTACATAATTTAAAACAAATGGTAGCTTTTTTTGTTTCTTTTCCTTTTCCAGTGTGTATTTAAGTAAGTTGCGATGTGTACATGGAAGGGTTACTATGGCAAAGGTGCGTAATGCATTTTGCTTTCTGCAGTTCTACTGTTAAGGTCACGAGTGCAAGCCCAATGAAAAGTGGCTAATCCGCCCTGCTGACTCAAGATTATATTGTACAATTCTCAGGAATGCTGCAGGGTGGGCTGCCTAGTCCATGAGAAACTGGCATCCTCCCGGTGGGGAGCATGTGGATAAGAACCAGACGGTTGCCGAGCAAGTAGAAATAGAACTGCCGTTCCTCATGAAGGTGTGACACGACCACCAACCGGGCTTCTCTAGAAAACTCTCTTTCCCTACTTTAATTTTCGTTTTTTGGTCCTTGCACCTACAGAAAAGCAAAATGTTTATGCTGTTCCTCCCCTTTTAAGTAGTTCACCCATTGGAATCCTTGTCCTGGCCAAATATTAAATAAAATACCAGATTTCTTCAGTTTTTAAAAAGCTTCATTTCTGCTCGCCTTTCCGACGGCGCCTAAGGTATTCCTGCTACTACAGAGTAACGCTCGCTGGATGCCAGAAGTGTATTATTGCGCACACCTTGCAATCTATGTTAACAGAGCTCCGAGGGAAGAACAGGTTTGTGGGAAGCAGCAAAGTATGCAAATTCCACCCTTTTATTTTCCTAGGGACATCAAACACATGCAAAGGAATCCGAGGAATTACTACCGGGCCAGGCCCTAAATATCTCCTCTCGCACCTATGTAAAAGGCTCCAGGGAGGTAGAAGTTCGCATGCAGTCAGATGCGTTGCCCATATGTAAGCATAAAGCTGGGTCAACTTGCACCCCCATGTACTGGGAAGAGGGCTTCTTGGTTTCCCACGAGAGCTTGCAGAACAGGGAAACAATTGCCCTTGCATAGATTCTACTGAGCAGGTGAGAAGTAGCCAACATGGTGCCTTCAAAATATGTTTTTGAACTTAAGCTCTCATCAGCCCCAGCCAGTGTGGCCAGTGAGGAGGGATGCACCTGAAATGGGCCACTTACAAGCAACAGCGACAGGGGAAATGTGCACCAGAGTCAAAAGATGTAAAGCTACACTGCAATCCTACACATATCTACTTGGAGGGCATTCCCACTAAGTTCAGGGGGAATTACTTTGGGGAAAGCCAGCTGACTCAATCGCACTTGCATCTGAGAAGCTCTGTGAAGGATTGCGCTGCTAGCCTGGCTTGCAATAAGGCCATTCATAACCATCCTGAAATTACATACTGTGGAATAATTTCACTTAAGTGGTTTGAGAACGGATCATTAGGTGTTCACGGGAGCATATGTTTATTTTAAATGAAAGCAATGTCCCTAGAGATGTTTCAGTTTGTCCTCCAAAGTCAAGCAGTCCTAGTTAGACCGGCAAATGTTTTTTGCACAAACAAAGAGGTTTACATGGCTTTGTTTTGCAGTATTTCCCCCTTTTAAAAAATCTCGGCACTGGAACTTTTTCAATAGCCTTGGAGTAGAAGTTCAGGGAACCTCGTCTGCAATCTTTGACAAATATTCTAACCAGTGCTTTTTTCCTCAAAAAAAATGTTTAGGGGTACTCTCATTTTCCTACTCATATTGGAATACTGCCCCTCAATGAGGCCAAACTTAGATTCACAAAATGTTTAGGGGTATGCGTACACCTGCAATCCCCCCCAGAAAAAAGCACTAATTCTAACTATGTTGTTAAACATGTCATTGTTGTCTGAATGGCACTTTTTCACAAAATGGTGCTCAGAGCGTCTCGCAAAAGGTTAGATGAACAGTGAGTATCACAATTCAAAAGCCTACCAGAAACAATTAGAAATAATCACAATATCAGTAAGTTATACAAAAAGGGAATCCATACAACATTGTATGAAACAAGACAAATAAGCTTTTCTAACTTAGTGGCTTAAATCTGATGGATGTCTTACCAAATAAGCAACATCTGCAACTTTAGGCTGCAGAATCAGTAACAGCAACCCTTCAGAATGAACACCACTTGAGAAGACATGTAATCATTTCGTGATCTGTTCTTTGGCTTGGTAGGACAAGACTTTGACTGTAAGGTCACATCCAAACTATGCATTTAAAACATCCCCCTGCCCCACAAAAATCAAAGTAGAATCCCAGGAATTGCCGTTTACTCTGCAAAGAGCTACACTTCTCAGCACCCTTAACAGACTGCCATGCTCAAGATTATTTGTGGAATGCCATGCGCTTTAAATGTATGGTGTGGGTGTGATCTGGGATATTGGCTCATTTATAACAGCAATTTTGGAATTTCTGAATACTATCTTAAACCAGTTTTGTTGAAAGCTTGTTAGCATCATAACCATCCAAAATGGAGGCTTTTGGAGGACACAGAGAAGGGATGTTATAGAAGGTTAAGACTCGGAAGTACTGGAGAATATTCATGCAGTGTTGTGAAACCTTCATTCATGAATATTTTTTGGTAAGCAAGAAGGTGCAGTGCTCATTTAATATGTAAATATAGCCTGCAATAATTTGATCGGAGGTGACCTCGAAAGATCTGTCGTTTCATTTCTGGTAAAATGGCAAGGAAGATCTTATACATTTGTTTCTGAGTAATTCTTTCTTCATGTCATTCATGTTTGGAATATTCGTCCCCCCCCCCCCCCCGGTTCTTAGCAATAAACAGTACAGTGGTACCTCGGGTTAAGTACTTAATTCATTCTGGAGGTCCATTCTTAACCTGAAACTGTTCTTAACCTGAAGCACCACTAATGGGGCCTCCTGCTGCCGCCGCGCCGCCGGAGCATGATTTCTGTTCTCATCCTGAAGCAAAATTCTTAACCCGAGGTAATATTTTTGGGTTAGCGGAGTCTGTAATCTGAAGCGTATGTAACCTGAAGCATATGTAACCCGAGGTACCACTGTACTCAGAAACTTTCACACATTTGTGGGTCATTTCCCACTTGTGGTGACAGTTTCTTCTGACTGGATTGAATAGGTCTTCTGATTGCTGCTTCATGAATCCAGTTTGTACATCACTGCAAACTGTCTGTCAGAAGTGTGTGCAATGGGATGTTAGGACGGATGTCTGGGCCTTGCTTGTGGGGAACTGTTCAGCCTGCCACTTCACTACCTCTAAATTCAATTTGCACATGCAGAAAAAGCCCATAACATGCTTTGCCGAATCATTCCACAGACTGTCTGGAATTCTTTAGTGCTAAGGATTCTAAGAACTAAGAGGGGAAATGGAAGTTCAGAATTTCAAATTTAAAAGGAGATGGAACTACATGAGTTGGGGCTGTAGGTTTTCTGAGAGTTCTGTTAAGTCCAGTTGGACAGATGCACATGATTTTCATGGTGATTTTGATCCTATTTCAAGGGGTTTCGGGTGGTACCATCGCTAAAACAAAAGAGGCTCAATGCATCACCCACAAATCAACTCTAACCATTGGAAATCAATCCAACAGCCAACATTTCTGAACGACATACAAATTCCATAAAGGTTGTGAGCAGAGAGAAGATTATTGGATTTCAGTTTTTTAAAATTTGAAATATATCTTGCCCAGCATTCTAGTTCCATTATTATATCAAAGAATGTTACAGTGCCAAAGCAAAAGCATGGTAAGATTTTCACACCCCTCCCCATCAACCCATTCATTTGTAGTCCGTTTGATGTTGAACATGCATGAATCAGGACCCAGTAAAATACTGTATAAAAAGCAGACAGAACTAGTAACAATGCCAATTAGCAATTGATTCATTTGTTTATCGTGCCTATAGCTCACTCCATGAAGTTCAACTTAGGGCTGAGAGCCAACTGTCCTCATATTTCATTTTTTACAGCAAACTTGAGTTCAGGATAAGGGAAAGCCCGCAGAATTATTCTGGGTGGGATTCAATGTCAAAGGCATGCCTAGGGTACCTTGTAAGCAGCTGTATCAGTGCCCCTGCCCCAATCACATAGAAATTACCACATTTTAAACGACCCAAGTATTTGAAGTGTCCACAGTGACAGGCAGGATGGAAAAAACTGCACGCCTTTATGCCGCAGTGCAAGAAGGACAGGAAGCTTCTCCCACATTTGATCTTGCCCCAACACTAGCTGCACACTGATGTCAGAAACTCCATACAGTGGTGCCCCGCAAGACGAATGCCTCGCAAGACGGAAAACCCGGTAGACGAAAGGGTTTTCTGTTTTTGAGTTGCTTCGCAGGACGAATTTCCCTATGGGCTTGCTTCGCAAGACGAAAATGTCTTGCGAGTCTTGAGATATTTTTTTCGCTTTCCCCCCGTTTATCTAAGCCGCTAAGCCTTTAATAGCCTTTTAGCAGCTAATCTGATAAGCCGATAAGCCTTTAATAGCCGCTAAACCGCTAATAGCGCTAATCCGTTAAGCCGCTAATAGGGTTGCTTCGCAAGACGAAAAAACCGCTAGACGAAGACTCTCGCGGAACGGATTAATTTTGTCTTGCGAGGCACCACTGTAGTCAGATAGGTGGTTTTTGCACCCCCAGTGGGGGCTAGTCTCACCAACCCCTAGGTACACCTCTGGCAGAGCCATCTTTCCCATAGGGCTTAGTGGTGCTTTGCGCCAGGGCGCCAGCCTTTCAGGGGCGCCCCAGCGAGTGGGGGAGCTGCGCGGCTTTGACGGCGGCTTCCCCTTTCCTTCCCTGCATGCTCGCCAGCTGCGCCCCATCAACCATATGGCTGGCGGGCATGCGGCTTCCTTCCCAAGCATCTGCAGGGAATGCTCTCCCTCAGCGGCATGGGGGAGAGTTGCGCCTCCCCCCATGGCTGGCAGTGCGCAGCTCCACCACCCCCATCCGTGGTAATTTGGGGGCTCTGGGCGGATATTTGCACCCCAGCACCACATCTGCTAAAGACGGCCCTAACCTCTGGTCACACTATTGCAACAGTTGTGTTAGAAAAAGCACTTCCAATTTCCAGATGGGACCATCTCCTCTCTCCTCCCTCTCTGCACAAAAACAGATTTCTTTTTTTTTTTTAAGGCACATGGGAATTAGAAGGGGAAAGCCCCAGTCATGTTAACCAGACCTGTGCTGGCTCCGGCTAGCAAAACCGTTTAGTTGAATCCAGCCTGAATTTTGACTTTTGCTCATCAGTTGCCTTCGCTGAACCTGTTCCCATTTAGCATGCGCAACAGCCATACAAATATAAGCCATGGCGGTAGGGCATCATTGCATAGAGTACATCTCTGTTGATACCAGATGCCGCTTCATTTGTCACGACGTGCCTAATCTTATCTAGGATCTCTTTCCACGATCCTTTCAGCACAAGACAAATGTGGCTTCAAATAATTCTGTGCTGACATCCTATCATGCCCTAAAGGTGGTTTGTGTGCAAATAAATGTCACGTACAGAATTCACACAAATGACCACAGGACGTAGCATCTTCAGCTTGCCAAACATATGTAGAATAAAAAATGTAGTCATTACAGCCTGGAGGGATTCCAGTGTGAAGGAGGCTTATATACAACACAGGCCT